TTGCGAATTTCTACCGCGGGTAATTTACAACTACACATACTTCATTATATACAATAGTTTGAACTTTGTTACACAATTTGATCCATTCGAGAGAGAGAGAGAGAAAGAGACAAAATCCGATCTCTACCACAGAAAGGAGCAAAAGTCATTGCCTAAAAAACGCCCGCGTTTGTCCAGTGAAACAATATCATGCATCTGAAAGGCTAAAGATGGGTCATTTTCGAAGCCAACTGGTAGCATCTGATAAATCATTTGCTGGCACTGTGAAGACCAGCCCAAATACGTTATCCGGCTCACTCGAAAAGAATAAAAAAGCATTACGTTGACTATTTCAGCAAAAGCGAACAAGAACTGTCAACAGATGAACTACACTAGGTGTCAAGTCGAGCTTCAGCATAAAAATCTGAGAAGCCAAACTGTCAAACACGCAAAACAGCAGGTCGTACGCTTTCATCGGTGTAAACCCTTAGTTACGTACGGTGGAGATGCCACATTCGAAACTACACAGTAATCAAAGATGACAACACTGAGCCATTCATGTTCTGATTTGCTGAAACTTATACACGATTGCCAATTATCAACATTTACCCAGATTCGGGTTATAGAAATCACGTGACTCATATCACTCCCGAACAGTTGTCACTGTCTGAAACGAGATTTCGGCTCGCATAATCTCTATAAGCTTTAGAGCTTGAAACTGCGCGCCAGAACTCCGTTGAAAATGAACCAAACCATTCCTGACCGAGTTAGAGTGCAGAATGCGTCTAACAGTCTAAGGGGGGGGGAGATAAGTAATAGGTGCTCATCAGTGCAGTAATAATAGTTGGCAAACCATTGGCAGGGATATTGCAGTATGTTGGCGCTGTACAATCAGTAAATGAAAAACGCAAGGCTGTCTAGCCAGGTACACATAACAGGCACAATGCATACATGGCACGTGATTGAAGCGGTTAAAGTACAACTTTCTTTCTTGCCGACTTGATGTCAGGTGGTTCGGTTTTGAGATTTGATAGTCAGCAGCTACCTACAGTTAACTGCTTCTACTACACCGATCGCCACTTTCAAAGTGACAATGTGACATTAAAAAGAGTCGAATATATACAATACCGACGTTAAAGGAATGTATGCCAAAACAGGGTATCTGAATGGCCGAGTAACACCTTTCATGACAAACAAAAGACACATTAAGACAAGAAGTGTTTTCGTGGCATGCAATTAACAGAAGCTGATCATGTAAGACGCAATGCAATAGTTTTCGAGTTATGCATCCGTCGAAGTGCATGAAGCAATTACCTGACTCTATCTTTCGATCGAGAGGAGTATAAGGCATGGCAGTGGGAACAGACAACCAATAGTGGGAGGAAAAAATAATTATTTATTTGGACTGACCATCCTTCCGACTTCACATAAAACCTTAAGTTTGTCCATTCGACTATACGCTCGAGAAGCGCAAGGTTCGACTTTCGTTTTCGTTAGAGCTCATCAGTAGTGCATATAAACGGAGGTCTACGTAATAAACAATCGGCCACTTGAAGTTTGTACAAAGCAGTGACTGACTTAAAATGACTTATTCTCATCAAACTGCTACATGGAATAGGAGTTGCACAAAACTCGAATGACCCATTGAAAGGAAAAAACGGCATTGTTGGTAATTAAACCGAGTGAATTCGTTTATGGAACGAGATGAGTATGGTGTGAGCGATCCGCCGTTTTATCGAAGAAACAAAATTTTCTCAAGCAATTTTGTCCTTCAAGGTGAACTTGCACATTTCTGTCATTCCGTGACAGGCATGAAAAGATGACCGGATGCCACCAGAATCAGGTGAAAATATGTGCATGTAGATCACACGACAGACAATGTGCTTATTTACGCTGAAACAGTTTCGAAAACGATTATATGGATGATTGCCAGTGGACTGTGCGAATGAAAAACGAAAACACACAATAGATTCACTGATTGTGACACCTCGGGTAAGCGCCAGCCAAAACCAGTGTCAGGGCTAGGATCACCAGAAATGGAACTTAACTTAAGAAACAATAGCAGAGTGAAAAGATTGGCATTTTTGGAAGAAATTGGCCTTGCTAACTGACTGGTGCTCTAGTAACATCACCTATGATTGCACAGAAACGGTATTCCACGGTATTCATCCTTTTCAATAACCATCGGTTTGCGAATGAACGTTTGCCACAAACACAGCACAAAGGAGAGGTAAAACGGGTAGCATTGTACACTTGTCTTCGCTGTATGAGTCTTGATGCCGGTGCGAATACATCACACCATGTGAGAATGGAATCCAAGAATTCATATGCAGAACACAAACACACTACTATACAATTGACGACCGGGTAGGCGAGAGACTTTTATTTGCCATAGGTTTGATCCTACAAAAGCATGTAATCGATTGACAAAAATTTAATCGCTTTTGGTTCAAGGGTTGAGGGGTGCTATCAAATACGGAGTCGGGGAAACATCCACCGACAAAGTCAACCTTGATAAAAATCTCGTCCGCAAACGATCACCCCTCACACTGGTTAGCTACAGTTGTGGACAGCTTGCAGGTATGTAGTTTGTCTGCATTCTGTTTCTTGTTGGTTCTCGTGACTTGCGATTATTGGATTTACTTCTTTCTCATTCGTTGATAGATAAACAGGCAGCCAAGGGACACGGTGGTGCACAACAAGCAAAAGCTAATAGTTTTAGAACTGAAACTAAACTTCCCACATGAAAAGCCGTATACGGTGAATATCTTGGTCAAACAACTGTATCAGCACCAGCCTCCCTCAGGGTTATCTCGAAAAGCACATTATTAATGGGATTTCGTATATTCTGTATAAGATGACCCGTGCCAGCAAAGATCAGATCCTGACCGTAGAGTGGGCAGAATAGAGTGGAACAAAACCAGGACAAACGCAACACAAAAGCGATTGACGTGCAATAAAGCGCAGAACGAATTCTGACAGATTCATGCCAATCAGAATTGTGATCGATGTGGTCACCGATGCGGTCCACCTCAGTTCAAACAATCGTTCCGTTTGCACTTCAATGCACCACAATGTTGATTGTTGTCAAACGAGAGCGACGACCGCATAAGTTCTATGCCGTCGAGAAAGAGAAAGCCGGGACTGCGAGGGAGAGCAGACATATAACCTCGGCCTAGAGCAACATCGATCAGGAGAAGTATTTGTGAGGTATGGTTTACCTTTACAAAACCTCAATTGTACTATAAAGACAGTAGTTCTCTCCTCGAACAAAGCTATTTGACATGCATTTTATTCACCAAAATAGTACGTAGAAAGTAATCCCAAACTGATTGCTGTAAACAATTTCTAACCCGTAAACAAAATACAGAAACTGTTGGAACTGCTGCATTTTCTCTTGGAAAAAGAATCCTTGAACAAGTTTGAAAAGCATCATGAAAATTTTTCTTAACTGTTCCAAATTCGTCGAAAGGATCGACTAACCCTATTGTAAGTAGCAAAGCCATGTTACCATGAAAGGTTAACTTTGGAATTTATTGAGGAACGCAGGAATTTTACAGATTAAGTAAAATCCGGTCCGGGTGTGCAGTAAAGTGAGTTGATCATCAGAATGCAGTAAACATATTTCGAAAGACCACCATATTCTGTGCTAGGTGAGCAACACTGTGTACAGACCATACGGTATATTCGTGTGTATGCACATTCTTAGAACCTCACGTGAGGAATTCAATGGACCCGCATTATACTGACAAATCACGTGATGCATGAACGACAGACCACAGTTCCGGATCAGGATAGATGAAAATTTATCATTCAGTGCACTGTATGATAATCATAGGCGCTTTGTTTGTGTGTGTGTGTGTTCATAATGGTTACGTATGCATGCACACAGTTTCGGAAAGGCTCTAAATGTGCCGCAATGACATGTTTGCAAAGATATTCTTCATTGTGCATGAGAATGCCAACCAGCAGATAAAATTGTGACTAGCATGAATGACAGT